AAAAAAAAGTCCTTTAGAAGTATGTTCGCTTTTGCTTCGTTTTGAAGAAAATTGCCAAAAAAAAAGACAACGTAATTTATATTATTCGGATCAGTGAGTCATTACGTTGATCAGATCAATGCTGCGAGCTGTCCGTAAAATGCAATGCATGCATTGCTGCAAGTGGCCAATATTAAGAACAATATCTGCATTAAGCAAGTGAATAAATAAAAAAAAAGTGAAAAAGTGTGAACGAATAAATAATAAATAAGTACAGAAATGAAAATAATATTTTATCTTTTTTTTGAAATTTTCTCCAAAAACAAAGCAAAAACGAACATATTTCGAAAAGACTTTTTTTTCTTAGTTTATCGATTCCCTATAAGTTCTGAAGTTTGGCTATTCAAATGCAGGACATGCTGTATATACATATCTACACATATTAACAATGAAAGAGATTTGAAATTTTAGCAGAAATCCAAAATAACATAAAAATTACAAAAAAAACGATTGATTCTTGCTATATCTTAAAACGTAAATAAGAAAAATATTAATATTTATTTATTTTACATTTTTATACAATTTTTTTTTCTTTGTACAATAATTTAATATTTCGTCTATGTGCAGCACACGCGAATTTGGAAAAATTCTATTGTATAAAATCTATTTTAAACAATTATTTACGTATATACGTGTTTAGCAGGGACATTAATCAACACTGAATGATAGAAAGACCTAAAATCAACACAAACGACAAAAGTCTTGTTGCGTAGTAGCACATATTTAAAATTCTATCAAACATACAGAATGATTATATAGTGAGGAGCAAAAGTTTTGAAAATGGCTTATTATCTTAGAAAAAAACTTGGTTAAAGGGATCCTAAAGTCATCTGTGTGTTTTACCGATTATTTTTCAAATAAGTATTTTTCTAACTTTTTACAGATTTAAAAATTCTTTTCCACAATTGAAGTACGATAATATAATTTGCCGATCAATTTTATGCTTGATATTGAAAATGTTATAACAAACTATTTTTTTATTATATCTCCAATTATATGAGGCTTAAAAAGTTACAGTATCGACATCAGTATTATCTACGGTATTCTACTGATGTCTAAAAGCTTTTAAATATTGCTCAGGATCATATATACTTTGTTATAATATTTTGGAAAATTCTCAATTTCAACTATAAAGATAAGAAATAAAAAGGAGTTTTAATTAAAAATTTGTTATTGGTCTTGATCACGTTTTTCAAAATTATCTAAAGCTCACATAAATATTAGCTGCTAATAGATTTTTTAATGTTTGTTCGAAACATTAATTAAAATAACATTTTTCCATTAACCAATATCTTCTAAAACAGGCCTCTTCCGGAATTTTTGCCGTTTGCATGCTTGCGCGTGCGAGTGCACTTACATACAGTGAGCCTGATAAAATGTTTATCATGTTTATTTTTTTTCCCCCGAAAGCAAAGATAAAGAAAAGATTTATTTTAAATATCAAAATGATATAAATAAAGGAATATACTTTGAATAACCTTAAGGAGGTTCTCGCGTTTGATGAAATATAAGACAAGTCTATAATATACATGTAATACGAAAGTTAATAATATCAATAATATTTAGAAAAATATTTCATTTATTTTTATCATACCATTTTGATGATATTTAATTATGAATTTATAGAATTTTACATTACAAGTTGAAGTTAATCTTATTCTGTAGTTATTCTCTTTTAAATTGAGACACTTGCGAATAAGACAGCAATTTAAAAATCGTTATTGTAAAATAAACACTTAAGTTTGTTCTCGTAAAGTTTAAACTGACCCTACAGTCACAAGACTACCGTACAGTTTACAAGAAATTTATATTCTTCAATGAAAAAAGAATATATGTCAAATAGACGATACGTATGTACATACTTCAAATGAGCATCTTACAACTTTTATTTTGTCATTTTGAAAATATTTAGTAACATAAAATTAACAATAATTATGTATAATGGCAAGATATTGTTAGTAACTTTTTTATTCCATTATTTTACATATTATTACGAATAAACTGCTTATTACGAATATACTTGTCTATTGACAGTAACACGAGAATAAACCTCCTTAAGTGTTTTTGGTTCTTTTACAAAATATCGTTTTAATGGAGACTATTTTTTAGTTATTCTATCGATGTACTCAATAAACTGAATATCTTTGCACTAGAGTTTTTTTTCGAAAATTACATTATTTTTGGGACATAAAGCGAATTTGATTGGGTGCATATTAAAGCTGTTGTACACTGATATTAAATCTGAGTGTAAAAGTAAAATGCAAATATTTTGAATTATAAAATAAGTATTGAGTACCAAATTTAATTGTGATATTATTATAGTATTTTAATTCAAAAAAGATTAATTCGACGCATAATTCAAATGATTACAAATATAGTAATTGTGTATATACATATAAAGTATATGCAAATTCGTTGAAATTATTTAAACATTAAAGATCCAGCTTCAACCGATCATCGAAATATGTCCCACTACTTGTTTTATAATTTTAATAAGATATGTTATCTCTAACAGTTTTCAAAAAAAAAAAAAACAGTGAATTTTTTTTTCGAACTTACTCTATATGATATCTCAGACCTATGGAATCACCTTTCGTAAGCAGATAAAGCAGATTAAACTGAATTAAAAAATCCTCTATCATTTTGTAATTTTCGCAATACTTATGTGAAATATTAATTTCTAAAGAAATAAATACATCCGCCCGGCCTATCGTCAAACGCAAGCACGTGGTATGATATGTCTGCCCAGCGCGGAGACTGGGAAAGTATTTTCTTTCACCTTCACGTATTATCAATGTCATTGTAAACAATTCCCCACACGCCTAGCAACCTATGGCGATTTACATTCCTACTCGCCATGTACTTATATTTGGTGATAAGTCATGCTATTTAATGATCTTTAGAAATTAATAACTATTGCAAAAATTGCAAAATGGTAGAAGACTTTTCGACTTAATTTGATCTGCTCCACTTGTTCACGAGAGATGATCCCGTAGATCTGAAACATGCTTAAAATAATACACTATATAATATGCATTTAAATGGAAATGGGCGGGTGTGGATTTATATGTATAATAAAAGTTTAAATTGATGTGACGACAGATTTCTATATTAGATCTAATATTAGTTATACATTTATTATGAAATTTTCATAATTGAAATTTAGGAGCTTCCAATTGCGCATTACATTTACATTATTATGCATTTTTGATACTAGTCGCATCTCAGTTTCCTTGTATTTATATTTGCTACTTATTAGATTATGATATGTCATAGATACTAATATAACATGTAAGTTATTTCACGTGATTATTTAATTCGTATTTTATAAGGAGAAGTTATTTCTATGTCAATTCAAATGTGTACTTGATGAATAGCGTAAATTATTATTTAAAGATTTCAAATTATTTATATAATTATTATCTTAAGATTTAAGTATCTCCAATGCGGCTTTTAAATATGTAAAACTTTTAAAATATAATATAGAGAGAACTAGCAATATTAAAAATATGCATAGAACATTGAAACGTTGAAACCTTGGCAAATTTATA